TCTAATATGATGCATGCTGTGTGTTAGGCGTAGAGGTAGGGGTCGAGTTTTGAGGGTGGGTGTAGTGGACTAACCAGTGAGTTCTATATCGCACGTGTGTGTTCAGGTTAGAGGTAGGGTCCGAGTTGAGGGTGGTGAGTGCGACTAGACCAGTGAGTATATATGTGCACGCTGTGTGTTAGGTTTAGAGGGTAGGCGTTCTAGTCTCTGACGGGTGGGTGAGTTGGGACTAGACACGGTGAGCTCTATATGTGCACGCTGTGTGTTAGGTTAGAGGTTAGGGCGTCGAGTTTGAGGGATGGACTGTGAGTGGCGACTTAGACCAGTGAGTCTGATATATGGCGAACGCTGATGTGTATAGGGTAAGAGGTAGGGAGGCGAGTTTGAGGGTGGGTGCCAGTGGGACTAGCGCAGTGGTGATATATGTGACATACTGTGTGATTTAGGTTAGAGGTTAGGTCGGGTCGAGTCTTTAGTAGGTGGGGCGGGCGTGAGTTGGAGCTGAAACCAGTAAGTCTATATTGTGCGCACGCTGTGTGTTAGGTTGGGTAGGGGTCGAGTTTTGAGGGTGGGGTGAGTGAGCCCGACTATGACAGTGAGTCTATGATGTGCATACTGTCTGTGTTAGTTTAGAGGTAGTGTCGAGTTTGAGGGTGCGGTGAGGGCGACTGGACCAGTTGAGTCGTATATTTCGTGCGCTCAGTGTGTTTAGGTTAGGAGAGTAGGAGGTCGAGTTTGAGGCGGTGGGTGGTGGTCGACTAGACCAGTGAGTCTAATAATATGGCACGCTGTGATGTGTTAGGGATAGAGGTAGGGGCCGATGTTTTTGAGGGTGGGTGAGCGGACTTAAGACAGTGAGTCTATATATGCACGCTGTGTGTTAGGGTTTAGAGGTAGGGTCGGAGTTTGAGGGTTGGGTGAGTAGGACTAAACCAGTGAGTCTATTATGCATGCTCGTGTGTTAGCGTTAGAGGTAGGGGTCGAGTTATTGAGGGGTGGTGAGTTGGGGATTAGACCAGTGGAGTCATATATATGCCACGCTGCTGTGTTAGGTTAGAGGTAGGGGTCGAGTTTTGAGGGTGGGTGAGTCGGACTGACCACGTGAGTCATATATATGACGCTAGTCTTGTGTCTAGGTTAGAGGTAGGGGTCCGAGTTTGAGGGTGGGTGAGAGTGGGATAAACAGTGAGTCTATTACAGCGCTGTTGTGTTACCGTTAAGGTAGGGGTCGAGTTGAGGTGGTGATTGGGACTAAACAGTGACGTCTTATATATGCATTGCTGTGTAGTTTAGGTTAGAGGTAGGGGTCGAGTTCTTGTAGGGTGGGTGAGTCGAGAACTAAACAGTGAGTCTATATATATGCATGCTGTGTGTAGGTAGAGGCGTAGGGGCTCGAGTTTGAGGGTGGGTGCGTGGTAGGACTAGCCAGTGAGTCTATATATGCTGTGTGTGTCTAGGTTAGAGGTTAGGGGTTCTGAGTTTGAGGCGTGGGTGAAGTGCGTATAGATAGTGAGTTATATGCGCACGCTGTGTGTTTAGGTAGAGAGTAGGCGGTTCGAGTTTGAGGATGTGAGAATGAAGTAGGACTTAAACCAGTGATCTATATATGTACGCTGCTCGTGTTAGAGTTAAGAGGTATGGGTTTGAGTTTGTGCGGTGGGTGGTGGCGACTAAACCAAGTGAGTCTATATATGTAGCATTGCTGTGTGTTAGGATTAGAAGGTAGGGTTCCGAGTTGAGGGTGGTGTGGTGGGACTAGGACCAGTGAGTCTATGATGCGCACGCGGGTGCCGTGTGTATAGGTTAGAGTAGGGGTCCGAGGTTTGCAGGAGTGGTGAGTTGGTACTAGAACAGTGAGTCTATATATGCACGCTGTGTGTTAGTGTTAAGAGAGTAGGGGCCGAGTTGAGGTGTGGTGTGAGTTGGGACTAAACCAGTGAGTCTATATATGACCATTGCCTGTGTGTTAGGCGTAGAGGTATGGGGTCGAGTTTGAGGTGGGATGAGTATGCGAACTAAACCAGTAAGATCTATATTGTGCACGCTGATGTGTTTAGGTAGCAGGTAGGGGTCGATGTTTTGAGGGATGGGTGATGGCGACTGAACAGTGAGTCATATAATACGCATGGCTGTGTGTTAGGTTAGAGGTACGGGTGAGGTTTGAGGTGCGGTGAGTAGCGACTAAACCAACCAGTGAGTCTAGATATGTACGCTGCTGTGTTAGGTTAGAGGTAGGGGCCGAGTTTGAGGGTGGTGTGAGTAGACTAGCAGTAAGTCTATATGTTGACGGCTGTGTGTTTAGTGTTTAGAGGTAGGGGCCGAGTTTGGAGGTGGACGTGAAGCTGGGACATAGACAGTGAGTTCTATAATATCACGCTGTGTGTTAGGTTTAGAGTACGGGGCCGAGTTTGCAGGGTGGGTGTAGTAGCGACTAGGACCAGATAAGTCTATATGTGCCACGCTGGTGTGTTAGGTTCAGGCAGGTAGGGGCCGAGTTTGAGGGTGGGGTTGAGTCAGGACTGACCGTACAGTCTAATGTGCACGCATGTGTGTCTAGGTTAGAAGGTAGGGGTTTCGGTTTGAGGCTGTGGCGTGAGTGGCGACTTAAACCATGGTGAGTTCTATATGTGCACGCTGTGGTGTGTTAGGTAGAGGTAGGGTTCGAGTTTGAGGGTGGCGTGTAGTGCGACTAAACCAGTGAGTCTATATGTCACGCTGTGTGTTAGGTTAAGAGGTAGGGTCAGAGTTTGGAGGGTGGCATCGTGAGTGTACTAACCAGTGAGTCATATATAATTCTCGTAGAGAGAGTGAGAGAGAAAAAAAGAGAGAGAAAAAAATGAGGCAAAGCCGTACTGTAGACACAGATGAACTCAAAATTATACTCCAGTGAGCACTAATAATAATAATAATAATAATAATAATAATAATAATAATGATAATATATCAGCACTTGAAATTTACTGTCTAAAATATCAATGTATGAGCGAATGCACTGACACGAGGGAGAGCGACGCTGCGCCTCACCGGCGCCACCTACGTACCACCGTCTGGTTGTTGACCTGCACGACCTCGTCTCCTGGCTCCACCTTCCCACACAGGTCCGCCGGCGACTACGGCAACAACGAGAGAAGAGCGAGCGTTTAAAACAAGCGAACGTTTAAAACAGGAGTACATCCTCGCTCATAATGCCCACAGATATGATCGAACGACGCTAGTACCATCGATGTAGGTGGCACTGTTATTGTCGACTGTACAAAGAATAATTTCCCGAACACTTTGTAGGCACAAGTTCTATTGGTTTCGGTAATAAATACGATAAAAGAAAATAACACACTTATGTTTCCAGTTTGTAAAGCCTGTAGACTCTGTCTAACCTGTCTGTCTGTACGTCTGCCTGTACGCATGCCTGTGTCTGCACACGCACACACACACATAAATACATATATATACACTAATAACGAGACTCACATTCAGTTTGACATAACTGATGATGTACGTGCCAAAGTAAGACGACTGGATGTGCATCCCCTGTACAACACAAAATGTAAAAGTATCACTATCTGTAAAAATAAAATGAGCGATCACCAACAGAGATGCTTATAGTAAAACTACCAAATTTCAGCCTGATTACCTTCTCTCAATCGCTCTATTTCTGCTATTTCTCTTTCGCTTAATCTCTCCCGCCGTCCCTCTCTTTTTCTCTTTCTTTTTCTTCTCTCTCGTTCTATCTCTCCCTCTTCCTCTCTCTCTGTCCCCCCTCTTTCTTTGTTCCTCTCTTAAACTCGCTCTCCCTCCCTCTCTCTCTTGCTCTCTCTCTCTCTGATTTTCTTCTCTCTCCCTCTCTGATTTTCTTCTCTCGCCCTTTCTCCTCCTCTCTCTTCCTCAATTTCTCTCTT